CCCCCCCCCCCCCCCCAAAAAAAAAAAAAAAAAAAAAAAAAAAAGAGAAAAAAAACACCGCCATCGACTAAACGGGAAAGTAGGGCTACCTGCCGTCTCATCAGATGCGTTCGTGAATAAACACGATACTCCAAAAATGAACGAAAATGAACGCATCTCAATCAGTTCTGGTCGATTAATGGAATTTAAACCAATATACACCAACAGTACTTGCGAGTACTGTTGGTGTATATTGGTTTAAATTCCATTAATCGACCAGAACTGTTTGAGATGCGTTCATTTTGGTGCGGACGCGAAAAAGAAAAATGCTAAGGCTGCTTGCTGCATTGACTGATATCCAGGCTAAGAATCAGCACTAGCAAATACATCCCTCTCTGCTAGTAGCAAAAGCTGTACCATCGGGTGGGTAGATACTGACGAGGCCCAACTGTGGTAACGGTAAGAAACGTATACGACTTAATGGATCGAAACATTTGTTACCCATTACAAGTATTTCCATACTCCCAAATCTTTCCATTTCTCTTTTTTTTTTTTCATCGTTTTTCTTCCCTTCTTTATTTTTCTATTTCATCAGTTCCTTTTTACCCTTTCATTATGAGTAATTGTGACAGTTCTTTCGCCAGAGAAAAAAATGCTAGTTGCCATAATGCACAGAGTCCCACAATGGCCTACGGCCGCAAGAAGTTGCCAGGAGCAGTAAACTGTTGTGCTCAAAATAGGTTATGTTACGCTTACCTTTCGCCGAACATCTCTGGCGTGACATCGCCGACTTCTGTGAGCTGTGAGAGTAGTTTCAGGTAGCCGTTTCTGTGATCGTCTATCATCAGTGGCCGCATTCGATAGCCGTCCGGCAGCGCTGTTTTGCAACACTGTTGGCGAACGAAATCCAGAAACGAGTCCGCAAAAAGCATCTTGTATACTGCAATACACCTCCTCCGTACGAGGGAAACTGAACAGTGAGGCACTCAGATGCAACCACTCGCAAGCAAGCACATTCGCTGATGGCGCCCCTCTTCGAGGCCTTCTCTAAAAGCAATCGTAGCGAGTCTAACACTCCACCTACCGTGCCACTTGCTTGTGAGCCATTTTTGCTAGTCAAAGAGGCACTGCACTCCCTCCCTCCCCCCTCTCACCGCAGAACAAAAAAAGTTAGACCGGGAAGAAGGGAGGCCGAGGCATCGATGCAACGAAGACAGACGACAGAGAAGGACCTGACGAAGCCGCCCATGATCACTGCAGTACTGAGAAGACTGACCAACCGAAGACAGGCAGGCACATTTTCCTGGCCACTCATTTTTGCCTGTTTGACCCGCTGCTGCTGCTGCTCATCGTCGATCTTCGGCTTCCCGGTCTCGGCCTCTTCATTTGCAGTTTGATTCGCTACTGCGATCCTTTTTTTGGAGCCAATCAACGGAACGCATTTGC